CTGACACGTAAACTGTCTGTTCATGATCGACAAAGAGATAGCTCGGTCTGTTGAGTTGATTGAGATCAATACCATAGCCATTACCACCAGCCACGATAGATCCGTTCTTATCTCCTGTTTGATATCTTCTTACTTCATGTTTCATGTGGTCAGGAACGTAGAGATATCTCTGATTATCCATAGCCAGTCCAACACACGTGACGCCGTCGACAAGAATTTCTCCTTCAGTTGTGCCATTACGACGAGACCATCGTACAACTCGTCGATTTCCCCAATCACAGATGATGAGACTATCAGTCTCTTTGTCGATTAGCACATCCATTGGCGAGTTCAATTGATCTAATCGATTTCCTCTCCCATTGCCACCAGCTATTACTTGCCCACTAGTATCACCAACCTTCCATTGGATGATACGATTGTTAGCGTGATCAGCGACGATCACAGTTTGATCATCATCAACAAAGAGACCCCAAGGATCGTTGAGTTGATTGTTCGCACCACCTCTCGCATGACCTCCGGCAACGGTCACTCCATTTTGTGCCCATCTGGCATTAGCTCGAATTGGGGGAGGCACTACAATGAACGAAAAATCGAAAGGAATCATCGTCGTTGTTGTCGAAAAAGTTTGTCGATCTCTCTCTACGGAAAATTCAAGAAATTAGAGATTCTTTTTCGAAGGTATTCGATGAAGTTTTCGACGGATAGTTGTTTCCCTCACATACGCGGAATATGAAAAAGATTTTTTCCTGAGATACATAGTTATATCGATGAATAGAAAGGAGCAGTGTAAGCGATATATTTATGCAACATCTCTAAAAAATTTTCATTTTTGTCTACGTACAAGTGAAGATTCGTGTTTGCAAGGATTCATTTAAGTTCTTGCTGTGATCCTTTCTCGAAGTAGAGGATAGAATTCTATCACTACTGTGACGTCTTTCGCGAAATCTGTATTAGCTCTTAATAACCCGGATGGTGAGCCAAGTACTCAGTACAAGTTCTATCTGAGAACTGATCCCCTGACGGTAAAAGGAGGTTGTTACCAGACACGGAATGGAAGTACTTCTAGCAGAAAAGATACCCAAATTTTGATCGCGACATGCTAGAAAAGCATGGCATTCAAAAACGGAACTTACATCGTAGTTGTAGC